TCTGTGGAGGTCCTTGTGAGAACCTCGCCCCTGCTTCCCTGCCCAGGAGACCCCTCCGACACCTACTCACCCCGATTTATCCGGATAAATATAGATGGGAGCTGGAAGGCGGCTCCGGCCGGTGACAAACCTCAGGAAGCGGCTGCGGTCCTCTGCAGGAGAAAATTTTAATTTCTAATGTACAGTATACACCTGACCATCAATCCTATGTGCACATCCCATTCCAAAACCAACCATGGCCATTGATATGGAGTCCCACAGCCAGCCCCCCTCCCTTGTCTATCGATATGGAGTTGTGTCGTCGTCCTCCCTCCCCTCCCCTCCCCCATGGCCACTGATATGAAGTCCCTCATCCCCCCATGTGCATTGATATGGAGTTGTGTCGTCGTCCCCCCTCCCCTCCCCTATGGCCATTGATATGGAGTCCCTCACCGCCCATGGCCATTGATATATAGTTGGTCCCCTTTTGCGGCTATAACAACCCCCACTCTTCTAGGAAGGGTTCCCACAAGATTCTGGAGGGTGTCTGTGGGAATTTGTCCCATTGGTGAGGTCGGGTACTGATGTTGGATAAGACCCGGGCTCACAATCAGCGTTCAGTAGGGTTGAGGTCAGGGCTCTGTGCAGGACACTCGAGTTCCTCCACACCAAGCTGGTCCCCCCATGTCTGTATGGAGCCGGCTTTGTACACAGGGGACAGTCATGGTGGAACAGAAAAGGGTCTTCACCAAAACTGTGACCACAAGGCTGGAAGATCACAATTGTCTACAATGTCTTTGTATGATGGAGGATCACCAGAACCTTCACTGGGGACCCCAGAACTCCATCATTTGGAATTTGTCCCATTGGTGAGGTCAGGTACTGATGTTGGATGAGAAGACCCGGGCTCACAATCGGTGTTCCAATTCATCCCAAAAGGTCTTCAGTAGGGTTGAGGTCAGGACTCTGTGCAGGACACTCGAGTTCCTCCACCCCAAGCTGGTCACACCATGTCTGCATGGAGCTGGCTTTGTACACAGGGGACAGTCATGGTGGAACAGAAAAGGGCCTTCACCAAAACTGTTGGCCACCTCTTTGTGGCTATACCAGCCTCCGCTTTTCTAGGACAACCTTCAATAAGATTTTGGGAGTGTGTCTTTGGGAATATATACCCATTTGTGAGGTCAGGTACTGTGGTTGGGTGAGAAGACCTGCGTCACAATCAGCATTCCAATTCATCCCAAAGGTGTTCAGTAGGGATGAGGTCGGGGCTCTGTGTAGGACACTCGAGTTCCTCCACCAAGCTGGTCACACCATGTCTGTATGGAGCTGGCTGTGTACACAGGGGACAGTCATGGGAGGGGGGGGACAGAAAAGGGTCTTCACCAAACTGTGACCACAAGGCTGGAAGATCAGAATTGTCTACAATGTCTTTGTATGATGGAGGCCCCAGAACTCCATCATTTGTAGGGTCAGGTCCTGATGTTGGATGAGAAGACCTGGTCTTACAATCGGTGTTCCAATTCATCCCAAAGGCGCTCAGTAGGGTTGAGGTCAGGACTCTGTACAGGACACTCGAGTTCCTCCACCCCAAGCTGGTCACACCATGTCTGTATGGAGCCGGCTTTGGGCACCTCAACTCAATAATTCTTATGGCATACCTATGTTCCATAGGGTTGAGGCCGGGGCTCTGGTGAAGTGGAACTTGACTGGCCTCCACCAAACTGGTCACACCATGTCTTTATGGAGCTGGCTTTGTACACACGGGACAGTCATGGTGGAACAGAAAAGGGTCTTCACCAAAACTGTGACCACAAGGCTGGAAGATCACAATTGTCTGCAATGTCTTTGTATGATGGAGGATCACCGGAACCGTCACTGGAGGCCCCTGACCTCCATCATTTGGAGGGGTCCATATACATTTGTCCTTACAAAGTATAAATCCGCACATCGTTCCCGCTGTACAGCCGGCACACAGACCGCGTGACTTACCATTCGTGAAGCTGTTCAGAGCCTCCCAGAAGTATTGCACGCGGATGTCCGTCGCACCCAAATCCTCAAACCTGGCTGGAGAGACGGAGAAGAGACACAAAGAAGATCATGCAGCCGAATACTTGTAGTTCCAAAACAGCTGGAGTGCCGAGGTTCGCCACCACTGGACAAGAACATGTGACTACTCCAGGAAGAGTCAGTTCCCCAGCCCAACAGCAAAAAGTTTCCCGGCCCACCCACCGGCCAGCACGCGATAAAAACTTGTCTGGCCGCTAAAGTTAAAAACAGAAGTCTTCTGCAGAATATGTGAAAGCCGCACAGCCGCGCCGAGGCACCTCTATATAGTGCGCTCCTAACTCTAAATTATTATTAAACAGGATTTATATAGCGCCAACAGTGTGCGCAGCGCTGTACAATATAAAGGAAGACATTACAAATCACAAGACAAGATGGTAAGGAGGGCCCCGCCCCTGAGGGCTTACAATCTAAAAGGGAGGGGCCAGTGACACATGAGGAGGTATGAGAGAGTCTCCATCTCGGAGCACATGGGGGCAGTAGATAAAATTGGGTGCAGGTTTGTCAACCTCCTTAAAAGGCACAGGGACGCACAAGGGAGCCCGCACATCACAACGGCAGCTGAGACCCCCCCCCCCCCATGCGTCACTGCGCCAAGTCAAGCAAAACAAATGGAAAATGCACTCATCAATTGTTTTGCTTGACTTATTTGGTGCAGTGACAAATGGGGGGGGGTGTCTCAGCTGCCGTTGTGATGTGCGGGCTCCCTTGTGCGTCCCTGTGCCTTTAAGGGAGGTTGGGCTTTTTGCCATTTGTTTTTCTAGTTCCTTAGCACAGTCCCCTCCCCCTTCTTGCATGGTATAGGCCCCTCCTCTTTTGGGAGTGTCTAATACCAGTCTGCGCTGGCCAAGCTCCTCCGCCCCTTCCCTCACCTCCCTACATAACCTTTTATGCAGGGGAGGAGTGAAGGGGACTGCCATGAAGTTGAGTGACAGCTCTGAGTCTGCTAACATCACATCCAAGATGGCGGCACCCAGCAGGAGCCTCGGGGCCTCTGGATGTGTCCGCAAGGGAGGAGGATCTTACTGGTAAATAACAATTCCTATAAATGCAGAGATAATGTTATGGGAAGATTGCTGATGAAAGGTCTGATCACAAGGCCTCCCAGCGATTATTGATCTTCCTCATTGATCTCGGTCTGCATTGCCCTCCTATGGTCACTGTCAGGTACTCTGATGCCTCTGGGTTTCCTTTTTCCAGAGACTGCGGCAGCTGCCACCACACCGGCCACCGGTTTCAGCTCGGCGGACATCCCGTGCCCACAGCAACACTTACCTTACCCCTGATGAAGCACGCCCACAGCGCCATTATTGAGGGGGCCGTATTAAATGCCCACCAGCCCTCCCATCAGCTTTGCCCATGCTATGTCCGGGAGCCCCAGGCATTGCCATGGTCTACATACTGAAATTCAGGGGGCGGGTCCATGACACTAACAAAAGGTGAATCGGTACTAGCAAAGAGAAACTGGGGCATGTAAAATCAAGATCGCATAGGCTGCTCTTTGGGGGTTCCTTGGAGTGGTCTGAAGAATGGTAACAAGGATGAGGGCTCCACTCATCTGATCAAAGTCCAATCATCTTTTATTGCTTGTAACAAGAATTCAGGAGAAAAGGACAACATGTTCCGGGGGTCAGAGGTCTCCCTTCATCAGGGCTTGGATACTGGACAATTTGGGGGACATTCCATGTGGTGCTCTCATCTTTGATTACCCAGAATGCTTAGGGAGGGATTGAATGATGATGATGATGATGATGATGGAGTCCACCTATCCCAGAGGTTTCTGGTACACAGCACAAATGTGCAGGCCCTTTACGAGGCTGATTATATAAATACATCGATGTCTGGAGATCAGATTCAATTCCGCCATTGCCGACTCCATAATTACAGGGGGGAGGACCCACACCCCACCCCACCCCCCCGGCATACTTACTCAGTTTTTTCAGGGCCTCCACAGAGATCTCGGGGTCCCCGCAGACTCTCTTCTCCAGTTCCTGCCAGGTAAGGAGATCCAGCACAGCCTGAGGAACCACCTTCAGCAATCCGGCCTGAATGGCTTCTACCTGAGAGAGGGGGAAAAAAAAAAACATGGCTGCTCAGATGCAGGGCGGGACGCAGGGCCAATGTCAATACCCAGAGTATAAAATATAATAGGCAAGAGTGGTAACAACCTTCCACGCACTGGACGCAGTGGCAGCATAGTCACCCCGGACGCACATTCCCACAACCAGGGCCACCCTTAGGAATCATGGGGCCCCGTGGAGCCTACCTGCCACTCAGCTTTAGCCATGTAGCCTCCCATTCTGGTGCCAGTCACCCCCACCTTATGCCACAGACACCGGGTATCCCCCATCTGTCTCAGGGACACCCCACCATAGGCTGCTGGATGTATAGTGGGCGGGGTCGGACGATGATCGACAAGTCGTGGTTGATTAATCCGCCTGGAGATGCAGATCTGTGTTCACGTGGGTGGGTGGCAATATGTGGTGTGCGCAGGGCTGCTGTTGGAAATCATGGGGCCCCTGACAGACTACTGGTGGGAGCCCCCCCCCTATAGTAATGCCTGCACCCCTCTGTAGTCCTGCCTGCAGCAGACTACAAGACTATATCCTATTATTAGAAGCATAGATACATCCTGGAACCTCCCTCTGGACTGCCCACCACAGGTCTGATTGGCAGCAGATCCAAGAGGGAGGGTCCTATGTCACACAGAAGCTTGGGGCCTTGGTGGGCATTATGGAAGGAGGCGATTAAGGTGATGGACATGCCAGGACATCATCTTGTAGTCTGGCAGGGGGGGGATCATGCATTCAGGGTGACAACGCTGCCACTTTGTGCAGGATATAGAATGCCAGCGTTGTCACCCTTACACAGGAAGTCCGGGGTGACCGATTTTTATTATATTTTTATGACAAACTGCAGACAGGAAGTCAAAAAAAAGGAGAGAGGTGACCCAACAAGATATATAGTTTCACCACAACGGCTCGGATACATTGAACGCAGCCCACCTGCTCTTTGCTCTCCTCCAGTCGCGCTTTCTGCACCATCTTGATGAACTCGAGCCGGTCCTCGTAGTGTACGGATATGTTGCTGCCTCCCGGCACCAACTCCACCATGCGCTGGTCGCTCAGGACCGTCGTGTACGTCAGCTCTCCGCCAAACTTAAACTCAAACGTCGCTTTATCCATCAGTTCCATCATCTCCAGGAGTTTAACCTGACAGGCGAGAGAAAGAAAGAGCGCCCCCCGGGGGACAGGATGACTCCATTCTTATAATCCCAACCAATCAGATCGTGCACAAGAGCTGGAAGTCATGTGACTAATGACCCCTTTTATGACCAGGCGTCATTGATGTCGAGGCCAAAATGTACTCGCCTCAGTTATCTTGAACCTATAAAGACCATTCCTGACACCCTACATGGCAGCATACAACGGGTATGGCTCCGCCCCCATTGTATGCTGCCACGTATTGGCGTCAGGAGAGGAAAATTACCGATAGGCAAGTATACAACTTTCAATTTTTCGTTTTATTTGCATCTCTGTTTTTAGAAATGTCCCGCTCTTGTTTTTTTCTTCATTATTATAAGATGACAAATGGACAAAAGATGTTTAAAAAATGCAAAACAGAAGATTTAAATCCGATGAGTAAAAGTGCCAACATGTCAATGTCCTAAAAAAAATGATTTTCTGTCTCGTTTTAGATTTCTGCCACACAGGAGGTCCTTGTTGAGGGTGACAACTCCCTGTCCATCGGTATCCGGGGTTTATGTGCTCTCTCACTCCCGGAATATGGCAGCATTGATCTGTTTATCATTTTATTGATGTGATTCAATTACAGTATTAAAAAAAATAAAAAAATCATTAGAAGTTTTTACATTTATGTTCGTTTCTCAGCCTGTAATAAAATAAAACAAAGTCTATAATAAAACAGTGTCAGAATCTATGTGTTAAAAGGAGAACTATGGGGTCAGGGCTTTTCCCCCATAGTTCTCCTTAGGGTAACGGGAGGACAATATAATAAATGCTATTTAAAAATAACGTGACGTGCGGTACCTCATATTCCGGGTGAGGCATTCCCCCGCCCCCTGTCGTCCAAAGCCACTCCCCCACCTGATGAAGCCCCGTCCCCAAGCTAGTGTGAAAGAGGAAGGGCAGCGCTTCATCCATGTAATTAACATCCAGCGCTCCGTCCATGACAGGTTACACAGTGGGGAGAGGGGGGGGTTTCCTGCTGTGTAACCTGTTAGAAGCCGATCTGAATGGAGAAAAAGCTGTCAGCCTCAGACTTGAAGCTGGCAGCTTTTTCGTCCATAATTTTAGGTGAGGCTCCGCCCCCCACCTGCTTCCCCTGACCGCACGTCCCTGATATATACAGTGTGTATGTATGTGTACGTGTGTGTATATCTATCTATAAATGTATATATAGGTTTATTATTTAGCTGTACAAATCAGTCACAGAGTTATCGTCTGGCCTGACCATTCAGGAATTAATGGCCTCTGGTCATGAAAGGGTTACATGCACAAGGTGAGGAATACCAATAATATTGGATGTCTGGGCTGGAACGGAACGTTTCTCGGACAGAGAACTCACCAGCAGAGAATCCACCGATGGAAAATCTTTACTCCAACTGACTTCCTCTCCCGTCAGTTGCTTCCACACCAATCCGGGCAGTGCCAGGACCTGCGGGCACACAGAGGTCAGTATCATTCGGGTTCAGAGAGAGAGAGAAGGGTCAAGAGACCAACCGTATGGACCGTGACGTACAAAGAATCAACCCCCCAGTGTAGGGTGGAGGCCCTCTGCCCTCTTGTGGCCAGAGCAAGACCTGCACTCATTCTACATGGGGAATGAATGAATGGAGTCAGCAGCAGCTGCCGATCCATTCATTCATTCCCACTGACTGCAAGATCTTTTTTTAACCCTTTCACCCCCTACCTTCCCTCCTACACCTTTGATCTTCAGCGTGTGTCGCTCTATGTGACCTGTACATTAACCCCTCCATCTCCACCCTCCCGCTCTATGTGACCTGTACATTAACCCCTTCACCTCTCTTGTCCAGCACATCTTCACATTAACCCCTCCATCTCCACCCTCCCGCTCTATGTGACCTGTACATTAACCCCTCCATCTCCACCCTCCCACTCCATGTGACCTGTACATTAACCTCTTCACTCACTTCCTCCAGTGTATGACCCGCACAACAATGTATCCAGCGCGCCATCACCCACGCTCGGTGTTATAAACCGCTAAGTACCGGCATGTGGCAATAAAATGAGGTCACCTTGGGGGTGCCGATTTTTAAAGATGGGTTCTCCAAGAACCCGTTCACACTGAGCGGTTTGTCGCGCGATTTCCGCTCCGAAATCGCGCCCATTTCCCGCGTGATATCGCTCTATGTCGCTCGTCCAATGCATTTCAATGGATCTGTTCACATCTCACAGCTCAATGTCGCCTGTAGCTAGTCGCTCGTATGCGACCCTTTCTTCCCGCGGATGTCGCACGATTCGGCCCCAATGGTGTCTCGCAAAGTCGCGCATTACCGGCGATATTGCACGACATCGCGCTACAGAAGGGTCACCCTTGCACTGCAAAATGGAAGGAAAGAATGATGTCACATCAAGAACGCTGTTGATTGGTTACAGCCCACTGTAGCAGCGACTAAGTCCCTCCCCAAAAGTCGCGCTACCTAGCGCGATAAAATGTGCACTGTCGCTCAATATTGCGCAATGCTGCTCAGCACGGAATCGCACAGTAAAACACGCGATTCACCATGCCGCTCAGTGTGAATGGGGTATTAAGTGTCCTGGCGTTTTAATTTTTACTGAAAATAAGGGAAACAGGATTTTTTTCCACTAAAATGTTCGGTCTCATTTTTCCTTTTTATATGAAAAAAAAACAACAAAAAAACCCCCCAGCGGTTATTAAACGCCGCTCAGAAAGCCAAAAGCTCGATTTGTCTAAAAAAAATGGTATAAAATCCATTCCAGAGTCACATGGATGACTATCACAGCGCTGAATCATGTCCGGGTAATGAAGGGGTTAAATCGATGACCGTCACTCACCAGGAACTCCTTCCCTCTCAGAGCTGCGCCCATCAGCTGCCCGATCCATTGGTACTTGGCCAGATCCTTGCAGGACGGGTTGGGCACGTACATGTCCCGAGCTTCTCCACTGCTGTTTCCCTGGGAGGAGAAGAAATATCAGCGTGGTCAGATAGGAGAGACACGACCCCCGGACAGAGATAAGTACGAGACGTCTCCTCAGGGCCGGATTTACTCTCCCTGCCGCCCCAAGGCCAGGTTCCGCAATACGCCCCCCGCCAACCAATGGAGAATGGCGGCGGGGTTAGTTTTAATTTTTTTTACTGTTTATTTTTTCTAAACTTCTTTATCACTTTTTATTTCATCAATTTAATTTTCTTTTCACCTAACTTTATTGCTATCACAGAGAAGATAACAAGCCCCTGTGTGATAGCAATTGGAGGTGACAGGTTCTCCTTATTGACCCCGTCACCTCAAATACAGGAGTTCTAGCACAGCGCTGTGCTGGAACTCCTGTGACAGGTGAACGTCTCCTGATACATCAATGCTTCCTGAACTCCATAAAATGTAAAGACCATAAAGCTGATGAATCAGTTTCATCTAAATACGTGCCGGGCCCAGCTCCGGTCTAGAAATGGATACGGGGGCGACACTGGGTTACATCCCTGACAGCTCTCTATCTGCACCGAGCACTCTGGATTCTGCTTACACCTCAGAAACATAGGGGGGTTGATTTATACAAAATTTGCAGAGCCGCTCCCCCTGCAAATATCTGTGAGCGTTCATCCTGTGTGAACACACGCACAAAGGAAGGTTCTTTCGTTTTTGTCCTTTACAAGCGTTATGAAATGTAAATGTTCTGGTTGTAATATCGCATTATGGCCACTGGATGGCGCCAAAGGACCATAGAAAAGAAGTATTTATTATCTATGCTCCTTAGCTTCATCTAAATGGTGATAAAGTTCAAATTTAACTCTATTTGTAAAAGGGAAAAAAACGAAAGAACCTTCCTCCGTGCATGTATTCACACATGATGACCGTTCACATACACATTTTTTCTTTTTAAGCCCGTGGACGTGCATCAAAACTTCCCCCTGTGAACAAAAAAAGTGAACCGTGAAATCACAGCACACAAAAACGTGCACAAGGGTGCAAGGTCCTTCGAAAGAAGGGACCTACTTTCCCGACCCCCCGGGGCGCAAGGCTCCTGACAGGGGTTGAGACTGGTGGTCCACCAACCCGAAGGCCGTGGACCATTTCCTTTGGGGACCTGCCGGAGCGGGTCCCCCTCAGTACTAGGCAAGTGGGATCTCCCAAAGAGAAACCCCCCTCCTGGGTGGGAGGAGACAGAGAACCCCCTACGAGGCACAGAATCTCCTCCCAGCGTCAGGAATAGGCCCCGAAGAAACCTGCACCTTTCGCATCTGTGGGTCAAAATTTAAAATAAAAAAGTGCCAATCGTGCATAGCGTGCATAAATAAATCTAAAGTGCCAGCGCACCACTCTGACAGGCCTTAGGGGCCGCAGTGCACAAATATTGCCCCAGACTAGCCATAAGGCCTGTCTTGGAGGCGAAGTGCAGAAAATATGCAATGTGGTGTGTGACCAAGTGCACAGTGAGTCATGTGGGGTCCCATACCCAAGTGACTTTCTGCGCACCCCTGGGACGCCACCCCCAGGGGGCACAACACCACGGGCTTCTGCCGCCCCCGAACCCTCGAGCCAGACCAAGCTTCGCACCCATTCTCTCAGGAGGCATTAGCACCTTCAGAGCCTCCTGCCCGGCATAACCGGACCAGAATCAACCCAGGAGGAAAGGAGGCCCCTCCAGTACCCACCAATCACATCAGGGAATACCGAGCATCTCTCCGTCCCAGTGGATCGATGCCTTTCTTCCCTGAAAACTGATAAGAACAGATACTACACTTGATCTTAGCCAAAAGGCCGAGAACCGTTCACATACACATACAGAGGGCAAGTGGCTCTGCAAATTGTGTATAAATCAAGCGCATAGCGACAGGGTCTTACATAGGTTGAAAAAAGTCCATCAAGTCCAACCTATAGAGAGAAGAAAGAAAAACCTCCGAAAACAGAACACAGTTATCCACAGATGACCCCGAGGAAGGCAAAAACCCCTATAAATCATGGCTCAATTTCCTGCAAAAATGCCTTTACTAAATCTCACCATGCTGTGTGTTTGAGTGTAGTGGGGACATTAGAGTGTAAGCTCCTCTGTACAGAGACTGATGTGACTGTGGGGGGAGGGGACATTAGAGTGTAAGCTCCTCTATACAGAGACTGATGTGACTGTGGGGGGAGGGGACATTAGAGTGTAAGCTCCTCTATACAGAGACTGATGTGACTGTGGGGGGAGGGGACATTAGAGTGTAAGCTCCTCTATACAGAGACTGATGTGACTGTGGGGGGAGGGGACATTAGAGTGTAAGCTCCTCTATACAGAGACTGATGTGACTGTGGGGGGAGGGGACATTAGAGTGTAAGCTCCTCTATACAGAGACTGATGTGACTGTGGGGGGAGGGGACATTAGAGTGTAAGCTCCTCTATACAGAGACTGATGTGACTGTGGGGGGAGGGGACATTAGAGTGTAAGCTCCTCTATACAGAGACTGATGTGACTGTGGGGGGAGGGGACATTAGAGTGTAAGCTCCTCTATACAGAGACTGATGTGACTGTGGGGGGAGGGGACATTAGAGTGTAAGCTCCTCTATACAGAGACTGATGTGACTGTGGGGGGAGGGGACATTAGAGTGTAAGCTCCTCTATACAGAGACTGATGTGACTGTGGGGGGAGGGGACATTAGAGTGTAAGCTCCTCTATACAGAGACTGATGTGACTGTGGGGGGAGGGGACATTAGAGTGTAAGCTCCTCTATACAGAGACTGATGTGACTGTGGGGGGAGGGGACATTAGAGTGTAAGCTCCTCTATACAGAGACTGATGTGACTGTGGGGGGAGGGGACATTAGAGTGTAAGCTCCTCTATACAGAGACTGATGTGACTGTGGGGGGAGGGGACATTAGAGTGTAAGCTCCTCTATACAGAGACTGATGTGACTGTGGGGGGAGGGGACATTAGAGTGTAAGCTCCTCTATACAGAGACTGATGTGACTGTGGGGGGAGGGGACATTAGAGTGTAAGCTCCTCTATACAGAGACTGATGTGACTGTGGGGGGAGGGGACATTAGAGTGTAAGCTCCTCTATACAGAGACTGATGTGACTGTGGGGGGAGGGGACATTAGAGTGTAAGCTCCTCTATACAGAGACTGATGTGACTGTGGGGGGAGGGGACATTAGAGTGTAAGCTCCTCTATACAGAGACTGATGTGACTGTGGGGGGAGGGGACATTAGAGTGTAAGCTCCTCTATACAGAGACTGATGTGACTGTGGGGGGAGGGGACATTAGAGTGTAAGCTCCTCTATACAGAGACTGATGTGACTGTGGGGGGAGGGGACATTAGAGTGTAAGCTCCTCTATACAGAGACTGATGTGACTGTGGGGGGAGGGGACATTAGAGTGTAAGCTCCTCTATACAGAGACTGATGTGACTGTGGGGGGAGGGGACATTAGAGTGTAAGCTCCTCTATACAGAGACTGATGTGACTGTGGGGGGAGGGGACATTAGAGTGTAAGCTCCTCTATACAGAGACTGATGTGACTGTGGGGGGAGGGGACATTAGAGTGTAAGCTCCTCTATACAGAGACTGATGTGACTGTGGGGGGAGGGGACATTAGAGTGTAAGCTCCTCTATACAGAGACTGATGTGACTGTGGGGGGAGGGGACATTAGAGTGTAAGCTCCTCTATACAGAGACTGATGTGACTGTGGGGGGAGGGGACATTAGAGTGTAAGCTCCTCTATACAGAGACTGATGTGACTGTGGGGGGAGGGGACATTAGAGTGTAAGCTCCTCTATACAGAGACTGATGTGACTGTGGGGGGAGGGGACATTAGAGTGTAAGCTCCTCTATACAGAGACTGATGTGACTGTGGGGGGAGGGGACATTAGAGTGTAAGCTCCTCTATACAGAGACTGATGTGACTGTGGGGGGAGGGGACATTAGAGTGTAAGCTCCTCTATACAGAGACTGATGTGACTGTGGGGGGAGGGGACATTAGAGTGTAAGCTCCTCTGTACAGAAACTGATGTGACTGTACTCTGCAGAGTTTCTAAATAAAATAAACATAGTCTGAGAGGGAGCGGTGAAGGGGAGGAGAACGAAGTGGCGACAGATTGAGATGAAATTGTTGATATAAATAACAATGGCTCACCTGGTTTGATGTGCGCACAAAGAAAGGCAGCGGCACGGGGGAGTCAGCAGAACTGGGGCACAGCTCCTCAGAAATATCAGCCAGGCTGTCCCGAAATCCTCCGCCTAGGATTTCCATGAATTGTAGAAAAGAGGAAACACAAACGTAAAAGGTGTCAGCTGGTTTTGTCGGGTAATTTCCACCGACAAGTTATACTAATAAGGGTGTGTGTAATATGTCATGTCCTACTCCTGTCGACCCCATCCTCCTCCCTCTCTCCCTAGTGCACTTGCTGGGAATAGCTGACAGTTAAAATGACAGCTGGGAGTTGCTGTGTAAATACAGGAGCTGTAGAAGCTGCTGCTAACGAAATACTGTGTTTATAAACATTGATCAGAGGGAGATAGAGAGATACAAAGTAACATTGTATATAAACATTGATCAGAGGGAGATAGAGAGATACAAAGTAACATTGTATATAAACATTGATCAGAGGAGAGATAGAGAGATACAAAGTAACATTGTATATAAACATTGATCAGAGGGAGATAGAGAGATACAAAGTAACATTGTTTATAAACATTGATCAGAGGGAGATAGAGATACAAAGTAACATTGTATATAAACATTGATCAGAGGAGAGATAGAGAGATACAAAGTAACATTGTATATAAACATTGATCAGAGGGAGATAGAGAGATACAAAGTAACATTGTATATAAACATTGATCAGAGGAGAGATAGAGAGATACAAAGTAACATTGTATATAAACATTGATCAGAGGGGAGATAGAGAGATACAAAGTAACATTGTTTATAAACATTGATCAGAGGGGAGATAGAGAGATACAAAGTAACATTGTTTATAAACATTGATCAGAGGGAGATAGAGAGATACAAAGTAACATTGTTTATAAACATTGATCAGAGGGAGATAGAGAGATACAAAGTAACATTGTTTATAAACATTGATCAGAGGGAGATAGAGAGATACAAAGTAACATTGTTTATATACATTGATCAGAGGGAGATAGAGAGATACAATATTTTGTATCTACTCTATTTCATTCATCCGCTGATCAGTGATGAGCTTCATCTCACATGGTGTCAGATTAAGCAACCTGACAGGGAAAAAGAAGGGCTCTTTAAAATAAAATGTGATCCCTTTTAACCCCTTATTAACACTTAGTTTACATTAAATCGGCCCTAATTAACTCCTGCTTCCCCTTTATTATATTCCAACTGTTTTTTTTGTATTTCGAGTATTCTGAGCATCATTATTTAAGCTTTTTTTCCATTTTTACTTTGTGTAACTTTTTAGTGCCACATTACAACATACAACATCGAAAAAAAAATTCTGTTATTTAATTTGTAATTCTTGTCCCAGAATAATTTTTTGTGCCATTGGGACAAAATTACAGAATAACACTTATAAGTTTTATCTGCTGGAAGACTATTTTATTTTTAAACTGACAATGATTAAAGTAGAAAAAGGTCTTGTTTTAGTTTAGTGACATTATTATTATTTATGGATTGCTTTCCAAAGAAAATATTTTTTTGCAGGATGACATCACCAGTAAAAGCTTTGTTTGTCTTAAAAATATATATGGATTCCTTTGTTATCTTATAGGAGAACTATGGGGTTAAGGTTTTTCCCCATAGTTCTCCTTAGAGGACACAAACTAGCGTCCTCCCGTCACCCTAGGCTCAGTATATAGGGAGCTACAGCTCGCGGTATACTGAGACGCCGCAGCCGGAGCGGATCCCGACATCGATGTCGAGATCCGCCCAGTTGCGTGAGTGACAGCTGGCTCTGCCTATCTAGAGGCAGAGCCAGCTGTACCCGCCCCCTTCCCCCTCCGTTCCGCCAGTCAGCGCTGGCGAATCGGAGCGGGGAGGGGGGAATCCATCCCCTCCCCTGTCACGGCAGAGAGCAGATTTCCATAAACACCTAACTCAATATACTTCAGACTGCGGACACCCCTACTGGCTCCTTTAATACTCACTCAATGTACCTCTTTGTGTGAAGCTCTGGACAATGGTCCTACCAAGCATGGGGGTGTAATCTCATTCCTATCTGCTCCAATAACTTCATGTTTTCTATATGTTTGTATGCATAGTACTACCACTGCTGCATATTCTTCATGTTGGCCCTATGTGGGCAAATACCTGTCATACATGTATATGCTTTCCCTTTCTGTGAACACTGCAAAACCTTTAAATAAAGAATTTATATTAAAAAAATAAAATAAATGTTACTTCAGACTGTCATATTTATTAAACTATAGGGAAAGCTCAACATACCTTGATCAATGATCCCTTCTGCAATGAATTTACATTCCCACCATTGGTCATAACGTACCGGCCACCTAGCGGTCACAAAACAACATTATTAGATCCCATGACTGCAGTACTGAGAGGCTGGAGAGTGATGGCAAAGTTTGTGGCTTTGTGTAATGAGCAGTGAGATGAAGGCACAAGGCAGAAAATGTTTTCAAATATCCATATTCAGGATGAGGAGAAACACAATGTGAAAAAATTACACTATCTTCCTAATAAAAAGGACTGTGGGATAGTCCCGGCCATGGGGGGGGGATAGTCCCGGCCATGGGGGGGGATAGTCCCGGCCATGGGGGGGGATAGTCCCGGCCATGGGGGGGGATGGGCCCGGCCATGGGGGGGGGGGGCTCGGGC